CCACAGTGCACCAAAGAAACACACCTGCAATTTTGTGCATCAGGAAAAACAGTGCAGCTCTGTTTTTAGGTATGTAATGGTGCATTGGTAGCCCATTTAAATGAACATGCAACGAAACTCAGGTTAGGGTGCATACATTAATGCACCGCAACAGAAAAAAAGGATGTGAAAAAGCCCTTAGCCCTTGTACGTGTATGTTATAATCCGAAATATTAAAAAATTCAATATTTCACAGTTAATATTTAATAGGTGTGTATAGGGATGCTTAACTGCCTCCGGGTCGGCCGTAGTAGAAAAACGGCCGGCCCGGAGCTCTCTAGATCTGAGCGGGCGTCTTTAGACGTCCGCTCAGATACGCCCACTCGGCGTGCGCGAGCGGGAAATGGACGTTTTTTAAAAACAGGCAGCGATGCCGGGGGTTTATTAGCCCCCGTATGTGATAGCAATAAAGTTTAGTGGGGAAAAAAATGTAAGTTCCCCCCAAAAAAATGTTTAAAGTTACACATAAAAAAGAAAAAAACAAATTTTTTTTTAAAGTCCCCACCCATACATACACGAATGCAAACATGCGTCGGGGGCGCATACGTGCAAAAAAGACGATTGCGCCCATTACGCCGCACATGTTACATATCGCCACGAACGTCCGAGTGAGAGCAATAAGTCTAGGGCCATCAATCACTGATAACCTAAACTGATGAGCGGTGAAAGCTTTTAAAGTGTCGCCTATGGCCAATTTTGGGTATGGTAGTTTTCTGCGATTTCGCGGGTGCACGCAATTTTAAAGCTTGACATGTTTGGTGTCTATTTACCCGACATGAGCCGATCTTTTATATTTTACCAAAAAACTGGGTAATAATAAATGTTTCCTAACATAATGTTAAAAAAAAAACTTATTTTTTTCAAAATTTTCTGTAATTTTTCCTAATTATAATAAAAAATTAAAACCCCAGTGTTGATTAAATACCACCAAAATAAAGCTCTATGTGTCCCCAAAAAATGGTATAAAATTCATTTCGGGCAGGGCCCTCCTTACCATCTTGTCTTAAATTGTGTTGTGACTGTAATGTCTTCCTTATATTGTAAAGCGCTGTGCAAACTATTGGCGCTATATAAATCCTGTATAATAATAATTTCAGTACAGCGTTGCATGACGGAATAAACGTCAGTCAAAGTACTGCAGCGCTGAACACTGAAAAATGGCCTGGCCAGGAAGGGGGTCTAAACACCTGGTCTTGAAGTGGTTAATGTGTGGGTAAAAAATACTATTTTGCAATAGTTGCCTCTGTAATGTGATAGTTTAACTTTTTCTGTTAGGATTTGTTCATGCGATCTCTGTTGAGGTATGTTTTTCTGCACAGCACCACACGTCTATGGTGTGAACAGGGCATACAGTTGCATGCAGAAAAATACAGCCCAGCTATTGTGTCATTTCCTAAAGGTGGCTGTAAACACCTTTGATCCTTCTTCAGATTTGCATGCCTGATGCAATGCTTGGATATGAAATGGGCCATTTATATAGTTACCCAAGTGGGCAATGAGCTTTTCTGACCATCTGATTACTTGTAACTGCTTGCTCCTTTTTTCTTATGAAGAACAGAGAAGAATTCAGTTAAACACATGGATTTGGTCAGTAGGATTGCAAGGTGGAATACAGAGGTTTCCGTTGGTTTTAGGCACAGGTTCCCTCCACCTTCTGTTCTTCAATGAATATTTGCCCATTTATGGCCAGCTTGAGCCTTTACAATTAAACCAGTGTGAACAAATATTACATTGTATATCCCCTAAAACAGTTTTCAACACTTTAAAGGAGAATTTATGTGGAGAGCAAAATACACTCATCCCAATATTTAGAGCCAACGTGTGACCCTCAGCTGTCACACGTCGGCTCTATTGATCGAGGACTGAACGATCACAAATCGCTGATCTCTCAGTTTCTGATCTTCTCCCTGTAGCGAGCGGTGGCTGAGAGTCACCGATCCCTGCAGGGATTCCTCCCTCCCCTCTCCGTTCCTCCAGCGCTGATTGGAGGGACTGACGGAGGGGGCAGGCACACCTGGCTCTGCCTCTTGCTTTTAATCAGGCGGCGCGGTGGATCCTGACCATATTTTCATTATCTATTCTGGCTGCAGTGCAGCTCTTTGCTGTCAGCATATAGGGCGCAATAGCCCGCTATATACTGAGTTTTGGGTCACATGAGGACATCCGTAAATGTCCTCTCGTGACTCTAAAGAGAACTACAGCCAGAAAAGGTTTGGCTATAGTTCTCTTTTAACACAAGCAGAACAGTCTAGAGGCAAAGATACTTAGTCCATAAATATATAGCATTGCGGCAGATAGAAGCAATCGTTGTTTTCCTTTTCTTCCCCTAAGTTGGCCATACACTGCTTGAAATTCGAGCTGTGGGTTACTCTGTCGGCACCACCCAGCTCAACAAAAGTTGGAAAATTGTCAGCTCAACAGTGACCATGTCTTTATCCACAATTGATTTTAGAGAAATCTAGATGTGTGTGGCCAGCCTAAGAATCCCTCACAGAGATCTATATTAAGCCATTCATCTTTGCATGTGTATTTAGATAGACTGATATTTGTTTACATGTTCATGATTTCAGCTGATTGGGATATGGTGTATTAATGAATGGATATCCGGAGGCAAATCAAAATCTCTTAATTTAGTGGAATTTGGTCCTGGAAGAGGCTCACTAATGGATGACATTTTAAGAGTAAGTAATATGAAGCATTACTTTTTTTTTTATGGTTTTCTGTAGCATTCAACTTTCTGAGTACACAACATTTTCATTGGGGACATTGAACAGGTTGAAATAGAACCCCTGGAAGTTTTCTGCGTTAGGAACGGGAACTATAACCCTCTGAAAGAGGAGCTGACCTAGGGTCGTGAAGAGATCTATTCGTCATTGAGAAGATTTGGGCAGATAGGATAACAGGATAGGATAACGGGAGTCGGGGAGGAGGCAGGGGACAAAAACAAAAACTCCAGCTTTTGCTTACAATACTGTGAACCCAGATATCATAGTGGGAGTGCCCCTTTATTTTGAAGATGCTTTGTTAATGGACTTAGCATGCTTGGAGGACATAGCATTGCAACAAAACTGTGTGGCTTAGAACCTGAGGCCCGGGAAGGATAATAGGACATTTTCTTTTAAAGGAGGAAGCAGAAGACTTTTGCCAACAGAGACTTCTTATCTTGAGGAAAGAAGTAACTTTTGCACATTCTCGTACTAGTTAAAGGAGAACTATGGGGTTCTATCTTTTCTTTATTATTGCATTCCTTAGGCTAAATTAAGTAAATTGTGTAATTTACTCCTATTAGCCAAAATGCACCCTAAGCCTGTAAACCCTTCTTTAAGATGTTGGACGGGGCTAAGCATTGCAATGAGGAGAGATCCCGACAATGCTGCCGGGATCCTCCCCACTGATCTTCCTCACTGTGACTGACAGTGATTCTTGAGAGCTGTTGCTCGTCCACGAATATATGGACATGCGCAGCAGCTCTCTGCACACAGCTCTCTCCTTACCTGCACGTCCCCGTCCTCTGTGCCAGCCTTCCAGACACGCTGCTCCCCTCACTCCCTCCTCCTCTACATCTGCCCCGCCTACTTCACGTGTAGTGTGCAGTGCATTGATCCCCTCCCTCCCCAGTGACATCATTCACCATATATGGACTTGCCCATTCCAGACACGCTGCTGTGTAGCCCTTGATCCCCTCCCTCCTCCTCTACATCTGTCGTCACACAGGGCAGGGAGAGAGAGAGAGGGAGAGAGAGAGAGCGAGAGAGGTGAAGGTGCCCTCTCTTTCTCTCTCCATCATTTATCACATATGGGCAAGTCCATATATGGTGAATGATGTTACTGGGGATCCCTGCAGACTGGCAAGCATCCGATCAGCAGGGATCTCCAGTGACATCATTCACCATATATGGACTTGCCCATTTGTAGTAAATGATGGAGAGAGAGAGGACTCCTTCCTCTCTTTCTCTCTCCCTGCCCTGTGTGACACTGACATGCTAAAATCACTGGGGATCGCTGATGAGAGAGGGGAAAGAAAGAGGGCTCTCTCTTCAGCATTTACTACAAATGGGCAAGTCCATATATGGTGAATGATGTCACTGGGGAGGGAGGGGATCAATGCACTGCACACTACACATGAAGTAGGCGGGGCAGATGTAGAGGAGGAGGGAGGGGATCAAGGGCTACACAGCAGCGTGTCTGGAAGGCTGGCACAGAGGACGGGGACGTGCAGGTAAGGAGAGAGCTGTGTGCAGAGAGCAGCTCTCAAGAATCAATGTCAGTCAAAGTGACGAAGATCAGTGGGGAGGATCCCGGCAGCATTGTCGGGATCTCTCCTCATTGCTTAGCCCCGCCCACCATCTTAAAGAAAGGTTTACAGGCTTAGGGTGCATTTTGGCTAATAGGAGTAAATTACACAATTTACTTATTTAGCCCAAGGAATGCAATAATAAAGAAAATATGGGACCCCATAGTTCTCCTTTAAACATGTAAAGCTGTCCTGCTTTCATACAGCTTTACATCTTTATTCCATGTTGCTCACTTAGATGAAACACATTGTCCTAGATCTAGTGTGCCCCCAGATTTTAAGGGGGTGTAGAGATTTAAATTATTTTTTGAGTAAATGGTTTAGAAGAATCCTAATGTTCTAAGTACAAATAGTCTATGTCTGGGTGTTAATTGGCCATAGACTGTTGTTGCTGAGAAGTTCTGAGGAGGAATTTATAGCAGGGAACTGTGCATGTACAAATTTTATTGGTCTAGGGCAGTGGTGACGAACCTTGGCACTCCAGATGTGCCAAAACTACAAATCCCAACATGCATCTGGCTCTGGGAGTTATGTCTGTGGCTGTTAGAGCCTTGCAATGCCTCATGAGACTTGTAGTTCCAAAACAGCTGGAGTGCCAAGGTTCGCCACCACTGGTCTAGGGCTTAGGCTGGGTTCACACTGCAGTAACACGTGAATTAGCTCACATCCTAACACAATGCAAGAAAATGACCGCACTCCACAGGATACTAGCGATAAATCGTGCGTTTATTGATGCAAAATCAAGTGTACATCACAGCAAGCTCCCCAGCATAGGCGTCTCTACAGGGGGGTAAGGGGGGGCAATTGCCTTTTTCCCCTGATTCCCCGCTGATTCCCCTTTAAACCGGCCGCTGCCGTACAGCTTCACTGTACCGCAGCGGTCTCTTGCTAGCTGACAAGTCGGGCACACGGCTTGCAGGAGCAGCTACATGGTAGACCGCAGAGCAGCTCCTGTCAGCTTCGGCTGGAGCTCTGTCAGATCTGAGCTCCTGCCGAATGATGGATCACTAGTAAGGTCTAGTGCAGACCTTACTAATGATCCCCGCTAGATCATCAGGGAACCATGTGCCTCCTCCCTGCAGGGATGAAAGCAGGTGAGGGGGCTTGGAAGGGAAGGAAAGGAAATATTTGCTGCTTATGTATTTTAGCAGAGTAGGGACAGAGAAGACGCATCAAGGCTGCTTGGAGTCTTCACATGGGAGAAACATCGCTGTTCCCCACCCACGTGGGGTCCCCCTAAAATCACCCAACCAGACCCCTTATCCAAGCACAGGCCTGGCAGGGCAGGAAAGGGGGTGGAATGAGCAAGTGCCGATAGGGACAAGAGCCTCTTCCCCACAAGCCCTGGGGCTTTGGTTGTGGGGTCTACGGACAGGGGGGCTTATTTGCATCAGGGTACCTTAAATAAAGGGGGCACCCAGATACTGCCCCCCCCCCCCTTGTGAATAAGTATGGGGTACTTTTACCCCTACTCATTCACTAAAGGTTTAAAGTAAAAATGTTAATAAAAAGACCAGACTTTTGTAAAAATTCCTTTTAACCACTTGCTGACCGGGGTGTTAAACCCCCTTTCTGACCAGGCCATTTTTCAGTATTCAGCGCTATGGTAATTTGACTGCCATTTATTCAGTCATTCAGTCATGCAACGCTGTACTGAAATTAATTTTATACAATTTTTTTGGGACAGATGGAGCTTTCTTTTGGTGGTATTTAATCGCCACTGGGGTTTTAATTTGTTACTATAGTAAGGAAAAATTACCAAAAAGAAAAAAAACAGTTTCCCCTATATTAAATTATAAAACATTTTATTATTACCCAATTTTTTGGTAAAATATAAAATACGGGGTCACGTTTGGTAAATGGACACCAAACGTGAAGCCTTATAATAGTGCGCACCCGCGAAACCACAATACCCAAAATTGGCCTTAGGCGACGCCTTAAAAGCTTTTACCGCTCATCAGTTTTTAGTGTCATCAGTGATTGAGGGCACTAAAATTATTGCTCTCACTCCCAATGTTCGCATGGGGTATGTAACATGTGTAGCGCAATTGTAATTTTCTCGCACCTGGTGCGTATTTACGTTTATATGTGCATAAACGTGGGGGTGGGGGACTTGGCGGGGGTTACATTTTTTTGTGACCTTTTAATTATAATTTTTTTACACTTAATGTTATTGCTATCACATAGGAGGCTAACTTCCCCCTATGTGATGGCACAGGCACACGGATACCGTGTTTCCCCGGAAAAAAAAACACACTAGGTCTTATTTTCGGGGTAGGTGTTTTATTTTTTATTTTTGTATGTACAACAATCCACACTTATTCATGTAGAAAAGTCTACATGTATTCATGTACAAAAATATAGTGATCAGGGCAATCGAGCAATTTCCCGATGCAAAATTACATTCTGACAGATGCCAGCAAAACATAAACCATTGAGCGGAGCTTAGCGGTGACATTACCGTTAGCTCCGCCCCAACTGTTTATATTTGTCCGGCACCTTCACATTCCAGCCGAATCAAAACAAATTTGCGGAGTCGGCCATGGCCTCACACCTTTGTTGTCATTCAGTGACACCACAGTGTCCTCAGATGGATGTCACCCATTACTACGAGTAGTTATATGTACCCCTTTTTATCATATTTTATATATTCGGATTGATGTGTTAATGTTTTTCTGATACACATATATTTGCACAGTTATTCCAATACTATGTTAATTAACGGTAAAGATCTTTTGTTCCATTATACACATATCAATAGTTATAGTAATAGGATTGTACTGAACATATGTGCACATACATATAGGTAACCATGCTTTTTATGCTTATGTGTAGATCAGTATATGTACAGTGAGGAAATTAATCCCCTGCAGATTTTGTAAGTTTGCCCACTTACAAAGAAATGAAAGGTCTAAAAAAAATTTTATCATAGGTGTATTTTAAATGATAGAGACAAAATATCAACCAAAAATCCAGAAAAAACACATGATACAAATATAGTTACATAGTATTTTAGGTTGAATAAAGACATTAGTCCATCAAGTCCAACCTATTAGGATCTCAATCTAGGAGTACCTGTACCCTGACATTAAACCTCATCTGCCACATTAATGCCACTCCCCTATTCCCCACTCCCAAATGTTATAAATTGAGTTGCAGTTCAGTGAGTAAAATAAGTATTGGATCCCCTACTAACCAACAATAATTCTGGCTCCCACAGACTGGCTATGTGGTACACAGATTAGTCCTGTCAATTTAGGAAGGTGCTCCTAACGCCAACTTGTTATCTATATAAAAGACACCTGTCCACAGAATCTCTTTCTTCCATTCAAACATCACCACCCTGGGCAAGACCAAAGAGCTGTCAAAGAACGTTTCGGACAAGAT